CACGCTCTCTCTCTCTCTCTCTCTCTCTCTCCAATTCATTGCATTTCAAACCCATTTATTGAGTCACAGCACAAAAAACCTAAAGAATAAGAAGTCGATGACTAGCTTTTTTGGTCACAATTTTTGTATTCACAGCGAAATAACTGTGTTTTGATATTTCATAATAAAAACTATCGTTTCCTTTATATTTCTTATCCTATTTTTTTATGGCAACGAATATTATAAAGTGAATGAAAACACAAAGAAAAAGTGAAGGGAATCCCTAATAACTCATTGGGAAAACACAGAAACACAAGACATACACAGAGATGTGATAACAGGGTCAGTGGTTTAGCGGACTTACACTGAACTTTGAGATTCACGACTTCACTTTCGCCCCTTCCCTGGCTGTTGACGGCGAAGCACTGGTACTTTCCTCTGTGGGCTTTGGCTCCTATGCGGCGAATGAATAGCGAATTGTTTCGCACTTGTATTCCGGCGCTCGACTCCGAGCTCAACGGCTGCTCATTGTATAGCCAACCGATTTCGCTGACCGCTGGGTTGGCCTGAAAAACGTTACAAATATTTATTATAACAATTTACACGAGTTATACAAATGATGTGTTTTGTGTCTCAAATATTGTGTAAAAATAAAACATAAACTAATCACTACTTTCTATCGTTAAGACAAGAGGTCTGAACGCAAAAAACTACTTAATGAGGAATTAATGAATAACTTTTCCTTTAATTTTTGTTGTTTTTGTGAAAATGAAAATAGCGTTGAGAGAGAAAGAAAGAGAGAGAGAGAGAGAGAGAGAGAGAGAGAGAGAGAGAGAGATCGTGTGGAGTGGATAGGAATGAGAGTGTGGATGGGATGGAGGGATGGATAGGATGAATNAGAGAGAGAGAGAGAGATCGTGTGGAGTGGGTAGGGATGAGAGTGTGGATGGGATGGAGGGATGGATAGGATGAATGACTTACTTGAATATTGCACTCGAAGTATACATCACTTCCTTCGAGGATTTCCTGGTGTTGAATACTGGCGCCCAAAATCAATGATAGCAGCGGTGCGTCTGTATTGGGAATATCCAGACCTCGTTTATTACAACAATCGTATAATGAAAATACATTTCCCAATGATTTATACATTACAGACATATAAATCCTAATCAACGTTACAGTTATTTATATATCGCGAGAGTTATATAGCATTCGCTCTAATAATTTAATCAATTGTTTTTAATCAATGGCAGGAAAAATATATATAAAAATTATATCTCTGTCAACCGTTTGGTTGAAACACTAGTCTCTTGTATTAACGGCCGGGAAAAGAGGTCACCCCTCGGAAGGGATGAGAGTACACATACATAAGACATTTAATGTCCAATTGTCTTGGAGTTGAAAGTCGGGAAACTGGAGATTAGTGGCAGAACAGGACAGTCTCTTCCCGTTATCGTCCACCGAAGGCACGAACGCCAGAAAATTGGTGGTAACCGAGCCGTCATCGGAAGCACTCTCGCCACTGCTGTCCACTTGTGTCGACCCTTTCCACCACTGGATCTTCGCCGGCGGTCGGGAACCGCTCGACTGACAGACCAGTTCCACGCGATCTCCGGCCGACATATTATGGGCCGGTGTTATGATTCGCACCTCTTTTGGCTTCACTGTAGCGTTCAATTGAATGGTTTAATCAATTAAAACAATGATTACAATCAATATAAAAGCTATTAAAACAACAGTGAATCTAAACATACGATTGAGATCAATGGCAATGGTCTGAGAGGCGGGCACTGTTAGGTTAGTGTTGGACGCCTGACAGGTCAATACCATCATGAGGTCGTCGCGGGACAGCTTTGGCAGTTGTATCACATTTCTGATGAGCCCTTTGGGTGTCGTGAAGTAGCTCTCATCGGCTATGGAGGAGCCCCTCCACCACTTGACCACTGGCGGCGGGTTTCCTGAACCGTAATATCAATGGTTAGCACAACAGAGGTTTGCGACAGTGATTGAAGTGATGGGTAATAGGAAAGCCATACCTCCTTCGGAATCACAGGTGAGGTTAACGGAAGAGTCTTCGTTGAAGGGACCGGCGATGTCACTGATCCTATTGCCGGCGTCATCGAAGACCACCACTTTGGAAACAGGCACTGATCGGGGCATCAAAACACATCCCAATGTCATTACAGTTGTATTTCATTACATAGTTTCATTATATTTTGCAACTCTATCTCTCGATATACACTATTTTGTCTCTAATGTCAACCAATAATAAATTGCTGTTTATAAACGATATATGGATTGAGGAAAAAGACTTATATGAATAGTGTTTGATAACATCAACCCATTTATCACTAATAGAAAAATGGATTTTTTTCCGGCAATGCATATGAATAAGATTTTCATATTATTATCATTGAATTTCAAACTTAATGTCCACTTTTTGCGATGATATACAGCGTTTTGTTGCCCCACAGAGAATATATTATCATTTCAAGTATTTTATTAGTAATTCATTTAGTTTTTGATGATTTATTATTGAAGACATTTATTGGCGAACATTATTCATCATTTAATAGAGTTATTGTCGATATATATAACTATATTTATCATCAAAAACTATGGGCCATACGAACCTCTATCACGCCTTTCATCCAATCATTATATTATCTCTTATTTCTTATCACTTCGTATAACCGCTAATGACTGCCAATTATACCAAAACTGTTTATCAAATACTTTTTATACATTTCATTTTGTTGTTCGCATAATATATGCCGTAATACTATTAAACTAATAAAATTGTATTCATGTTTTTAGATAACAAAAAATTGCAATTTATATATTTTATTACAATATTAGTCTATTTATATGATATATTTGGTCACATTATTAGACTCAAAATAGAGTATATTTATTAATAGAATATTCTATATATTCTGTGTTTTGAAATATAATAAATTGACCCTTATACTTCCTCAAATTGTTATTACTCTAGATTCTCATTCATAACAATTGTAGCCTATCGCAATTTTTATGCTTGCTACAAAATTAGTATTATGCCTCAATTATATTTTAAAAAAATATAATCTTGATAAATAATTATCAAATATTTGCATTTAGTAAACAAACTATTGATGACATAAACAATGAATGTAAAACAAATTAGTGTCAAACCTATAACATTGAGCTTAAGAATTCTGTTGACAGTACGGGCGCGACGGAAGTCCACTCGACACCGGTATTCGCCGCCGTCGTTGGCCTTCACGGGATTGATCCGCATGTATGCCATCGGATATGTTATGTTAAACACACCTCTCGTGCCCAGTATTTCTGTGGCCGAGAAGTGTTTGGCGTTATCTAAATGTGTGGTCCGGGCGTCGACCGAGTAAATGGGATTTCCCGTGTCGTCCCTATACCACAGCACCAGTGATACCCCGTCATCATATGAGGGGGGCGTCACATTGCAGGGCAGGGCTATTACGCCCCCAACCACTGCACTGTAAGCGGGAAAGTCTATTAGGGTAGAAAACATGTTAGTTGTATTTGTATTTAATATGATTACCATTAGACATGCAATTATTTGTGTGTATATGTTCATGGTGGTCGAGTGGTCGTGGTGTTGCACAAATAGTGTTATGGTGTTTTACATGTTCATTTAATTAATATGCAGTAATTTTGTTTTTATTATGTTCAATTTTTGTTGAATAAATATTGAATTTAATAATTATACTAATACTCGACATATTTTGATTTACGATATAAATTAAATTATAATGTGTTGCAAATAAAAGTCACATTAAATTTTGAATGTTATTATTTTTGGCATATTTTCAACAAATAATTTATGCAAAAAGGAAACAAAACATGAAAAGCGAATCTCATAACAAAAAGCAAAGTGTAATTCTGTTGTTATTTATTGTATGAGTCTATGAAAAGAGTGAATTCAAAAATTCAGAGAAGAAAAATGTATAGCAAACAATACGAGGAATAAGTGAAAGAATTGGTCCAATCATTAATCATATGTTGTTTCGTTTTTAGACTTCAAGTCACGAATTGTATGTAAAGATAGATATTTTTGATGTGTTTTACAGAATAAAACAAAATAATTGTTTACGTTTTTAGAGTTTACTTCTTATAAGACTATATAAACAATAGTGATTGGGGAGAGAGAGAGAGAGAGAGAGAGAGA